CGGGGGGCCGCCCGCGGCCCGTGTGCTCGCGGCCCTACTTCCTCGTGCTCATGGTCTTCGCTCACCTCTACGTCCTCAACGTGCTGGGGCTGCTGCTCTTCGTCCACCTCAGCGCCGGCGACGCCGGCGGCGGCCCCCCCGCCTCCGCCGCCGCTTCTCCGCCGCCTCCGCCGCCGCCCGCCCGCGCCCTGCCGCGCCTCGAGGGCATCAAGGCAAGGCCACGGGGCCGGGCGCGGGGCTCGGGGCGGGGCGGGCCCCGGCTCACCGCCGCTCTCCCCGCAGGTGGGCCACACGCAGCGGGTGGAGCTGGGGCCCGGCCGGACCCGCGCCGTGCGCACCCTCAGCCTCAAGCCGCCGCTCTTCGGTGAGTGCCCGCGGATCGGAGCCCGCGTCCCTGCCGCGTGCCGAGAGCGGGACGGGCGGCCGAGGACCCCGGGGAGACCGCGGGGCGCGAGGGTGGGACGGGAGCGCGGGGCGGTAAGCGGTGGTAAAGCGGGGCGGCGTCGGTGCCCGGTGCCCGCCGGCTTTGTGCCCTCCTCTGGGTTTGCTCTGCAGCGCGGCCGCACCGCGTTTCCCTCTTGATGGTTTGCAGCCTTCCCCGCGTCGCTGCGACGCTCCCTAGGGTGAGCGCAGCCCCTGCAGCCCCTGCAGCCCCAGCCCCGCACCCCGTGCTGCGGAAGTCCGCTGGGAATGCACCGGTTAATTTGGTGATGGAGCTCGTATTACTGCAAAGGCAGAGCAGACCTGTTGGCTCTGAGCTGGTGATGCTGGGGGCCTTGAGATGCTTTGCCAGTACCTGAGCTTTTCTCTGACTCGGAATCGATTATACAAACTGAAAACCTGGCCACAGGTCAGAGCATTTTCTTATTAAATTCCTTTAATGCCGTAAGTACCTGTAAGAAATATACAGATCTGTTTTGTCATTTCTACATATGCAGTGTTCATGGCTCATTTCTAGCAGGTTCTCCATCAGACATTCATTGAACTCAGCCCTGGAGCGCATACTGGTTGTGAGACCCATGACACAGGCTGGGAAGTGGTTTTCCTGCTCCAGTTGCAACCTTCTGTGCCCCGCCAGTGCTGCTCTGCTGGACTGATGCTGGCCTCCAGGAGGGCACCCACAGGCAGCAGTGATCCCACAGCACCTGATATGACTCAGGCACCTCTGTCGGCTTCTGGGGCAGGCTGTACCTTCTGATGCTGGCTCTGGGGACAGCCCTGGGCAGGCAGCATTTCAGATTCCACCCAGACTGCTCTCCTTTATCCTCTGATAGGGAAGCCCTAATTTAGAAACCTTGACTCGTAAGACAGCTCTTATCTCCCAGATAGACCTGCCAGGAGCCAGCTGTGACTTAAAAAGAATTCCAGAGACCTCTCTATCTACGCAAACAGCACCGACCTAAATTAAGTGTTTTAAAATCCAATTATTACGTCTCTGTTGTTTAAATTGGCAGAGGTGTGTATTTAATGGGGTGGTGTTAGACAAAGCCAGAAGTCGCTGGCAGAGCTCTTGAAGTCCTGAAGGGGATTTTGCTGAACGAGAGCCACTGTAGGGAGAAGTGGCTGCGCTGTGATCTTTGCTTTCAGCAAAGCAGGGTGTTGTGGGGCTGTGGGCAGCTGGCTGATGGCCTAATGGGAGCTCTGCGCTTTGGGGCTGGGCACCACAGGGAGCGCACAGTTTGTTGTTTTAAATGTGGGTAAGTCATCTGCATTGAACCTGAGCGTATTTCATGGAGCTCTCAAAAAGTCCCTGCCCTGTTTCCCCATCCCCTCCCCCCCTCTGGTTATGAGACATCATTTCTAAGCTTGTAAGTCAGACCATCTGTGCGCTGCTTAGTTGGGAAACACCAGTAATCAAATAATCCCATTAATGGAAAACAAATATCAGACAAAGCCTTTTTCAACCTTCAGAGCTTTTACTTGTTGTGTATTCAAAACGCAGTCTGTTCAGAGGATGCTGCCATCACAGGGACCACCTGGCAGCAGGCCCTGCGGGTCGGGCGGCAGTTTGCGAGACGAGGCAGCGGGGAGGAATAAAAATAGAAAATCTCTCTGTTTTTCTTCTGAGCCTCAGGGAAAAAGAAGTAATTGCTACACAAATGTCAGAGCGCAGCTGAATTGCAGTGCGAGTGCCGTGAGTGCTAATCTCAGCCCATATTAAATCTGAAGAGACAGTCTTGGCTGGGTTGTTGCTGTGCTTTACGAGCACAGGGAGGCAATGTGTCTCCATCAAAGCTGGCGGTTCTCTCCACAACTGAGGCTGCAGGCTTTGAGCACAGGGAAGAACGTATTTATCCCCAGAGCTGTGTGTTTTTTTTATTCTTTCTGTCATTTTTATTTCATTCTCAAGTTTAATCCAGTGTAGAAAACTTTCCATGGGCAGTGCTTTGTCAGACAGTAGAAATCCAACTCATTTTCTCACTCGGGGATTTGCAGTTTTCTGCTTTCTGCTCATGTTGAGCTGTGGCTGTATTCACTGGTGAGAGCGATTCCCAGTGTTGTTGCCACCTCTCTCAAGGCTCTGCAGGTATCTTCGGCTGCAGGCTCCTCGGTTACCAGAACGTTCTGACCCAAACTGAATGCCTGAAGTCAAAAAGCGGTCATTCCCAGTTACGCAGAAATCCTCAGCTGTCTGCTGTGTGCTCAAGAGGGGTTGTTTCCTTTCACCTGTGCAAATGCCCATGTTATTAAAGGTGTCTTCTAGTCTGCTCGCCTGCAGATTTCAAGGCACTGATGCTGCACAAAGCCATCCATTGTAAGTCCTGGATTGGCAGGACCTTGCCGTAGGAATATGTTAAGTCTGCATCTCTAAGCTCTGCCTCGGGAGAAGGGTTTTAGTTATCTCAGGGATCTGTAGTGAGGCCCTACCTGCTGACTATGACTGCTTTGATTCACCTAAAAATACTGAATGTACGTCTCCAGAACACCAGCTGCCCGGGGAAGGAGTTTTCTAGCTGTGGGGAAGGGAGCCATTTCTTAGCATTAGGATCAAGATCTCAGACCTTCCTGCCGGCCTGCTCGGGGCAGCGGTGATGTTTCCATCTCCGCACGGCCTGGTGCAGGTTCCTGTTCTTCTTCTGCCAAGCGTAGGCCTTGTTCACCACCACTTTGTCGCTCTGCACTTCTCCGCTGATGACAAAGACCCCCGCGTGAGTGCCTCTCATGATGTTGTGGGCACAGGTAGCATCGATGTCCAGCCACTGCTGCAGCCTGCCTGGGATTTCAGTTCTGAGGAGCGGGCCGTGCTTCAGCACCTCCACCCTGGAGGGGTCCAGGTCGAAGTCGGAGACGGTTGTGGTCGTGTTCTTCCTGAGGATTCGGATTTTCACTGCTGGAGTGGGGGAAAAAGAGCTGTTAGTTCTGTTTACACACCATAGCTTTTGTGCTGCTCCTCTAACGTGGTGACACGTCCTCCCAAACCCGTGCAATTGCAGTGATTGTGGAAAAGTTCTCAGCTGAGCTGAGCGCTTCCAGCACTGAGCACTGTTCTTTCCACCCTGCTTTTCTCATGAGCGCAGAAGGCATAGCAGCACTGTGGCACGGGCAGAGTGCCTCCAAGGAGCAATACCACGAGCAGCAAGTCCTGTTACTTAACAGGTATGCTGAGAACTGATCATCTCTGCAACCTGCTTATAAAAGACGTGATTCCTCCAAGTCAGTTCTTATGGCCAAGCCATTCTTGTGCGTGTCACAGCTTCACTGCTGGAGGCCGTGCCGGCTGCAGGGAGGGCAGGTGGGTGTACTCACTGAAATCGTTGGCACAGAGGCTGTCCAGGATCTCCCTGGTGGTGCTGGCCTCTTCCAGCTCGCAGTCCTTGCAACTGGCTCGAGGCACTGCTGCAACAGAAAGCTGGTTAGAACGCCCGTTGCTGGAAAAGGCATCGTACGGTTTTGACATCTGCGAGTGGTGGCTTGTAGTTTTGAAATGGTGCTTCCTCCTGAGCTAGCCAGCCCCAGGATAGGAATGTTAAGCTCCCGGTCCCACGGTGGGACAGGCACTGCTCGCTGTGCTTTGTGGAGGCTGTGTTCATTGCTGCACGTTGCCGTGACGTTGCTTAGTGAATGTCTGCTGCTTTTCACCTCCTGGACAGGCGCACTGTGAGCTCCCATGTCTTTTAAACTTCTCCCCTGCCCCAAGCACCACTGTCTGAGGGCACCCAGGTAGTGATGAGCAGAGCTGAGGGAACAAGCTTCAGCCAATGTCACACTCCTTTTCTAGTTACAGTGCAGTTCCCATAGAGGAAAAACTAGAATTTTCACTTTTCTTTTTAAATATAGCTTAAAGCCAGAAGCTCTAGGAACTAGGCTGGAACTTTATGATCCTTGAGGTCCCTTCCAACCCATGCCATTCTATGAACACAGGCAAGGCATAGGCTCATCCCTGTGAGTATTCAGCATTACACATGGGAAAACATATGAGAAAAAAAGCCCTTACTTCTCCTGCTGGAGGAACTTTCATCCGTGGAGACGGCAGCGATGCACAGCTCGTGGTCTGCAGGGAACTTGTTGCAGTTGAGGATTTCAGGCCAGGGGTAGCCATAACAAGCCATCACGGGTGCACAGCTCCTCTTGACGGCCTCACACAGGCTGCGGCACGGGTAGATGAGCCTGGGGGGGGAGCAGGGAAGCAAGCAACAAAAGGCTGTTCTGGAAATTGGACGGGAGTTCTGTTCTCCCTCAGAAGGGGGGAGAGTCCCTGCTGGGTAATCCCATGTCCCCTCACTGTGCTGCCTGAAAGTGGCTGTGATCAGATTGCACGTCCTTTCTCTCAGGAGGCGAACGCCATCGCTGCTGGGGAGCGATGCGGAACGAACTCATGCAAATGCCTTACCTGTCCAAGCAGATGGGCGCGAAGAGGGAGCAGAGGAAAATCCTGGCGTCGGGATGGCACTCCCTGGCCAGCAAGGGCAGCCAGCTGGAGGACTGCTGGATCACCTCCGGCATGGTCTCGTGCTCCAGCAGGTTGGGGATCCTCATCTCCGAGTAGCCGATGTCGTAGCACAGGGCCATGCCGCGCGGGATGGCGGTGCAGCTGGAGGACCTGCGCAGGTAGCTGGCCCGCCCCCCCGGGCCGCCCCACAGCAGCAGGCGCAGCAGCAGGCCTGGCAGCCACGGGGCTCCCCGCCTGCGGGACGCCTTCTCTGTGCTCACAGCCCTCATGGTGCTCGGAGTGGGCTCGCAGCACACCCAGACTGAGCTGCTCCAGCCCGCAGAACGCCTTTTATAGCCTGCGAGCCACCTCCGTGGCAATCCATCCTCATTAAGTGCGGCCCTTTCAGAGCCCTCTTGGGGAAGACAATGCTCCAATTTTCGTTTGCCAGCGGCCCCGATTGTTTGGATTTTAGCAGGGGTTTGGCTTAGATCAGCAGGTGTGGAAATGAGGGCAGCTGGGGAGGAGTGAATGCCTTGGCCCTGTGTCTTGGGGCTCTCTGTTTGACACCAGTGCTCCAACCCAGCCCCTTTCTCTTGCTCCAGGATTAGTCATTATTTCATAAATCCCAATGTTTTCCTCTCTTTTGTTTTTTTTTTTTTTTTTTCTTCTGAAAGCAATCAAGTGTTGCTCAAAGTCAATTAGAAGGCATTTGTTTAGCTGGACCCATTGTTGAGTGGGATGAGAGATAGGATGGTCTCACAGCCAAAGTTAACTGTTTGGGAGAGCAGTGGGCACAGGAACCAATTTGCAGCTGGGAAGGAAGGCTGTTTGCACTGCGGATTGCCAGCTCTTAGCTGGAAAGCCCCTCACCTTGCAACCTGCCTGGCAGAAAGCGCTTCCTGATAATGCAATTTCTACCTCGTTACAAAATCCCATTACCACCACTGAAGAGAGGGATTGTCCTTCCTCCAGCATGTAATTAAGATTCCAGAAGCTGTCATTATTTGAGCCCGGTTTGAGGAACTGGAGATCCTGGGACTGTTGCTTGCCAGTGGGTATGGTTGGCTCTGACCTGATGTGAGGCCGTGACGCTCAGGACAGCGGAAGCTCTGGCCCCAAAGCCCCCTCTGTTACAAGGACATTGTTTTGCTGGTGGCAGAAATTGTGTCCTCAGAGGGATACAGCTGCATTGTGTCCCCGGGGCTTCCCAGGAGCATCGCATTTTCTACAGGGCCAGTTCTGGTATGCACTTAAGAGGCCAACTGCTTACTGACAGTCGGAGCTGATAGGGTTGATTTAAGGTCGTGGAAGTAATTAACTTTTATTTTTTCTTTCCCCCTTTGAGGATTGCTGCTGCAGCTGGGATGTGATGTGTCCTCAGCACACACCTGCAGGGCTGCAGTTTAGAGAGCAGGACTTTGTGTCTGAAAGCACTTACAGAATCATTAAGATTGGAAAATACTTTTAAAGTCACCTAATCCAGCCCATCACAGCCATATTCACTTAAGCCTGTCCTGCTCCGATGGCTGTACTTCCTCCCCCTTCATTTAGGGGAATGAATGAGAATAAGTCAGGAAGTTGTTTGAGTTTCCCAGTAGAGCAGTGTGCTAGGTACCCCCAGAAGGAGTTTGGTTGTTTGGGAGGTGCTGCCTGCTCTGCTGCAGAGCAAAGGAGCATGAAACCCTAGCCATCCTCGCTTCCCCTGTAAGGACTTCTGGCCTCCCTGTAAAACAGCAGTTCTAGACTGATCCACATGTAACCTTTGAAGTGATAAAACGCAGTGATATGCCTGTGTTTGTTCGCTCCTTTGTCCATTGTGGTGATTTGCAAGAAAATAAGGGGCTTGACCCCGGGATCCAAACATTGAGGAATGGCTGCTGTAAAAATACCCATCTCCTGGAGCTCAGGTGTGAGATGTGTGCTGTTGTAGAGCTCTTTGGGTAGAAAGATATATATATTTGACTGTCCTACTCCCCTGGCTTGGTAGGAAGTTTCTAAATTTTCCTATTTTCCTGTTAGTGGCCTGCTGTTAGTATTTGTCCTAATGTAACAGTTCCTCAGACTCTGTTACTGCTCGCATTTTCCTGCAGAAATTCCAGACTTCCTGACAGAGGAGGAGTGCAAACTCATCATCCATCTGGCACAGCTGAAGGGGCTGCAGAAGAGCCAGATCCTACCAACGGATGACTACGAGGAAGCCATGGAAATGATAGAAATCAGCCAGATGGATTTCTTCAATCTGCTGGACCACAATCAGGATGGGCAGCTGCAGCTCAAAGAGGTAGGGTGCATTTCTTCTTGTGTGTGTCCCAGCACACTGAGTTTGTGCAGCAGAGCTGGCTGTGCCCTCCTGCAGCTGATGGGGCTTCAGAATCATCCACAGTAACAAACCTGGGAGGGGAATAAGGAGCACTTTGTCCACAGCTCTTCAGCAGCCTTGTCCTGCAAGGCAGCATGCATTGGAGTAGGTAGAAGGATGTCGCTTCTGAAGTTCACAGCTTGCTGAGAGCTGTACCACATCCACCTAAGGATTGGTTAACTGAGCTTCAGCAGTCATTTGCCACCACCTAAACTGGAAATGAAAATGCAGATCAGCCACACAGCGTGGCTGCCCGATGATCTCCATTCAAATCCGTGTGCAGAGATGTGCTGACGCCTGGCTGACTGATGCACTGCAGAGGAGAGCTGGCCAGGCCTCAAGCAGGAAACTGTGAGGGTTGCATTAGTACTGGAAACCAGTGCCCAGTGTTAATCTGCTTCTGAATTTCAGGTGCTGACTCACACCCGCCTTGGGAACGGCAGGTGGATGACCCCTGAAAACATCCGAGAGATGTACACTGCAGTCAAGGCTGATCCTGATGGGAATGGTAAGAGCAGCTCCTCAGGAATCCCCATGTGCTCAGCAGGGGACACCGCACACAGCCTTGCAGGGAGAAGCAAATGCCATGTCCCTGCCCAGGCCTGTTGTATTAGATGGTCTTCCAAGGAAAATAACACTGCTTTAGAGACTTAGCAGAAAGTAAAATTGGTGTAGACCTCTCAGAAGCTGCTCTGGCTCTGACCATGTAGCTCTCATCGTGTGGGCTGCAGCTCTTAAGGTGTTCCCCCCTGCTTTCAAAGGGACTTTTACAGCTGTCTGAGAGAGCTGCTTCACTGGCAGAGAGGTGCAGCATCGGTGGACTCAGGGTGGTGTTGGTCAGCTTTTAGTGCTGATTCCATCTCTGCCACTGCTCTGTTCTCTGTGTTACTCCCTTACCCTCGTCTCCCTCTGGCCTGGACGTGCACTCTAACCTTTGCTGCTCTAATTAGAGTGTCCTCAATTAAGCAACTCTCCATTTCCTAATCAAATTAAGTGAATGCACAGGCTGTGCATGCTCTCTTCCAGTGACCTGGCATTGAGAGTGCCATAGAGGAGCTGCTTTGGAGATGAAGTAGGCACAGTACCCATGTGAATGCCTAACTATCTGGAGGGCACCCCGAGCACCCACGCTGGTGACATTTTTGGCAGGGGTAGGAGCGTATGACTGAGTTGCCAATGGCTTTTCCACCGTTCCGGATGTTTACGAATGAAAAGTCCTGTTAAAGTGCTTTTGGCAGGACCTTGCTTCCAGAGTGCTGCTTTCCTCCATTGTCACATCGGTGCGTGCCGCTGAGGGACCAGGTCACGACCTGGATGTGGCACTGTGTTATCAAATAAGGGGAAGTGGGGACTGGGAGATGTGAGCGGGGCATGAGAAACAGTGACGTGGGTGATTTGCTGACAACAACCAGCACCTGGGGAGCTGCCCTGGGCTGACCCTGGTGGCTGGGCCTTTCCCCCTGGCTGCAAACAGCAGTGTGTTTGCTGCCTCCCTGAGCTCCTCTCTCTGTCCCTGATGTGTGCTGGCTGCTGGGCATGTGCTGCTTCCCTGCTTCTCCAGAAAGGGAACACAACAAACGGTAAGGATTTCTCTGAAGCTAACAGAGGCAAAAATCCATCCCTTGCCAAGCTCAGCTGAGTACAAACAAGAAATATCTGTTGTAGTAGAAACCTCCTTTTACCTTTTGTTTTTCTGTCTTCTATTTACATCGGATTGTACTGTATTGTGTATCTCTTTCATGTTTTGAAATTGCACAAAAGCAGCAAAAGCAGAAGAATGTACTGCTTGTTGTTTGGGGCTTGTTTTTTTCAAATTGCCCTGCAAGGTCTTGTAGGAAGGTGGCCTGAGGTGTCCCCCTCTGCTCCATTTAAACATGTAAGTATCAAGTTGATTGTGTTTTGCCTGTTCTGGTTCTGACCTTGAGCTGCAACTGAAGGTTCTCTATCGCCTCGTGCATGTGGGGTGCCCAGGTCAGCCTGCTCCTGCTCTCTTCCACAGGCGTGCTGAGTTTGGAGGAGTTCAAGAGGCTGAACATCCGTGACTTCCACAAGTACATAGGGAGCCAGAAAGTGAAGACGAGTGACGCGGTGCGCAACAGCCAGCACACGTGGCTGTACCAGGGCGAGGGCGCACACCAGGTCATGAGAGCCATACGGCAGAGGTGAGGGCTCAGGGGGTGTGGGCACGTGGGCCACCTGTGCTGGGAGATGCAGATGCAGACATGCCAATATTCACGCTTCCTAATTGTGTGGAAGTGTGGAGTATGAAGAGCAATGAGCGCAGTCGTGAAATGGGAAGAGGAGGTTTTTGTTAGAGCAAGGATTTGTATTGTCCCCTGGAAAAGGAAAAAGAAAAATCAAACCTTTCAGCGTAGCCATTCACTTTTGGGAACAGCCCTATAAAACCAAGAAGACTTGGCATTATATGAAATAATTCATTCTAATTAGTAAACGAGCTTACTGGGAGAAACTGCCCATTTCCAACGCTGTCTGGGTGCCAGTAGTTACTGTCAATTGCTTGAGTTACTCATGCATTTCACTGAGATCTGTCGTAGCTGTTCAGAGCTAACTTCATAATAAGCACGACTTTATCTCAAGCACACCGAGGTAGTTCAGTCATCGGAGCGCATGACCACGGGGCCTGTCCCAGCAGATGGGAGAACCTCCTGTCTTTCCCTTCACCTTGGTTTTGGTTCTGGGAAGAGTTAACCCAGCTCGCAGGCCAAATGGCTTAGCTGTGGTGAGTTTCAGATAATTGGCTGGAGACTCCTCGTTCTTGTGGTGCTGGTCCTCGCCCAGGACATGGGTGGGGAAAATCTGTCCCGAGGCTGCAGAACGGCTGCTGGCCACTCCTTTTCTTCAGCACATTCCAGAGGGAGAATGGGGTCGCATATTGCCTTAATTAGAGCAGACTGTGGCTGCCACTTT